CTCTACATGCAGTCGAGTCGATTCTATTGTGTATCTGCATGTCTCCTTGATAATACCTGTCCAACTCTAAATAATTAGAATTAAATTCCTTCTCTCTTCTCTCTCGCTTCTTCTCTTCGATTTATTTATTTTCGCTTCTCTCATGATCAGTTACTTTTGTTTTGTTTGTACTTTGTACGCTATCGCTCTATCTGCATGACGCGATGCAGTTTATGGATGCCGTCACTCCTTGGGGCGCCGTGCCTGCACTTTTGGGGCGCAGTGCACCGGATGCGCAGTGACCTCTACGCGTATACGATGTACGCCAGAGCTAGGCATGTTTTTGGCTGCATGTTTCCTTTTGCGCTGCGAGCTTTTTTGTTTTGAGGCTACATGTACGCGTGTCGCGCTTTGCCTTTCAGAACTCTTTGAGTTTCAGTTTTATTCCACTTTGTAAAGAACAAGTAATGGTTCGAAGGAAATCTTGTCTACCATGGCCACAGGGCCGCAACATGTGTGACCCGACCTTCAGAAAGGATTGTGTTGCCGATCTGATTCACTGTCACCAATACAGTCATGCACCCTTTGCAAACACAGAATCTGTTGATTGTTCTTGCTCTCGGTGGAGTGGCTTTGGTATTTTGATGGTTTCCTGTGTGTAAAGATTGGGGGGGGGGGGCTTGCTTTCTTAAATATTCATTGGCCAAGCTCAATGTAGTAAAATTGGCACTGATCTCCTCTCTCTCTATCTCTCTATCTCCCTCGCTCTCTCTCGTGTGTGTGTGTGTGTGTGCTCTGTGTACGTGTTGGCCTTTACTTGTGTCTTCCGTCATAGGATTCATTAGTGTTTTGAACAAAGACTTTGCCGCAGCTGCACCCATGTTTGAGACGTGAGTACTGCTGGGTATTTCGCATGCCACATCACCGTGTGATCACGTGTGCGACCAAGAGCGCAGGGCACACGTGTCATAATGACTTGTCTTGCCAACTCCGCAACGTGTACACTGCTTGCACAGAGTGCATGCAGTGTGGGTTGATGTTGCATTCATGTGTCAGTGACAAGACGACGCCTGACCTGGGCTTTTCGTACATGTCCAATGCCATTAAGCACGTCCCGAATTTCCTGTAGTGACCAGTGTGATGGCTGCATTGCCTGTATCCCATATTTGCCTTGCACTATCATATACAACACTTGAATGGTTTTGACTACAGGTACAGCCAGCATAGTGAGGGGCCCGAGCAGAAGCTCTTTGCTTCTGTAAATTTAAACGTGCCCGTGGTTTGAGTTATGGTTTGGTGAATGAGTGAACTGGTCTCCATAGACTGCCTTTGCTGTGGTCATGTCTTTGCTGCAGGTTTGCTGTACATGTCCTCTAACAAGCTAGTAATGTTGTGTGTGCCTGTGTATGTACTGGTGTTTGTTTGTGTGTGTGTGGCGTGCCGTGTTTGTGCAGGTTATGCAAGGAGACACGTTGGTCACCTGGCTTCTATGGCTATCTCGCCGCATGTAAGTGTGCTGGGCGACGTAATGCACACCGCCATCTTGTGCGGATACAACTGCTGGACTTGGCGGCTTGGAGTATATGGGGGGTTGTACTTCAGAAGTACATGCTGTGTATGCGTTCTGTTCGGCTGTGCGTCGGAACCCCCACTCCCACTCTGATAGCTTTCATAATTTATCCCTAGACTTGCACTGCCGAGGACGCTGCCCTCGAGCGATAGAATGCTGCTAAACATGCACATACATGTAGAGGGGACGGTTTCAAATAGGACATAGGTTGCAAACCGGAACGGACTCAATATTCACTTTCTCTCTTGGTATTTTGATTAGAAAACATATGTCACAGTGAGACTACGATGTGTTATACTCCGAGCCAAAATTTCATGGCTCTGCGATGACCAGAAGCGCCATACCAAGCAGGTGAGTTTTTGACGTGTTGCTTCGCACTGCGACTTGAGTTTTACGACTTTCGAAAAATCAACTTGTCGCAGGTAAACAGCGGCTCGCCTCTCGCCAATAAAGCACCGCATACCAATCAAAACTAATGGAAGCACACACAGGGCTTATTGTTACTCTGTACTGGCCGTCGTGGAGCGATAGCAATTACCTAATTTCAGACCCAGAGTGAATTTGACGTGCACTCTAAAACGTGTCCGGTTTGGAGCCACCTCTGATTTGAACTTTTTTGAAGCGAAAAATTGGGCAACTTGGAGGCAATGGGACAACACAAAGGAGTGGCTCAGTTCGATTGACTCTGGCCCCAGAGCAAACTTCAACATGCCAGTTTCCTTCCACAAACATATTTCGAGTGAAAAATCAACGCTGATGATCGGTTTGGGTCTATACAAATTTGGCTGTCAAAGCGTCCCGGTATCGAGCCGTCCCCTCTACATACAGTGAGGTACTGGGAACTGATCCAGGGTGCCGCCAGCTTTGCACTCTTTGGTTGGATTCTGCCCAGCACAACTGTAGTAATCATTGTATGCCGACACAAATCTTCCAACTTTTTTGCCCTCTTGTTTCAGTATGTATGGGGAGCGATGGCCAAATTGAAGCCTCGCATGACCTGATGAAGAAATTGCCTAGTATCATCGTGCGCAAGAACTCCAATTATGAGAAGTTTGTCCTGAAAAAGGTAAGCACGCATCTGTACCTTTCTTCTTTGTCCTATGTCGTTTATTCTTCAAAGATACTTGTGATTTAATGTGGGGCTCCACAGCTGCAAATTCTTTACGAAAACCTGTCTTTCTTCCATCGTGTTTCAGACGGCTCGCTTCCAGAAGGTCGCACCGACCGTGCCAATAGCTCGCACTCTGCTTTTTGAAGTTGTCTATCTTTGGAACTACACGCTGTTTGCTAACATCAAGCAACGTGAGGAGCTCCTTGCACTGGTCGAAGGCGAATGTGCTGCCTTTGACCCGTCCGAGCAGATCCTGCTTGCTGCCAACCTCCTTGTACGCAGCAGTCTCAACTTTGAGTTGGATCGGCCATCAGAGGCAGAAACGGTATGTGGAATCCCCTCATTTTCTGTCTTCTCTGCTTACTGCATGTAGTCTTCTTTGTTTTCTGCTCCACTTACAATGTACTCTGCTTTTACCTGCTATGCCTATTGCCTATAAAGTAGGGGTCAAAGGGGTGTACCGGGTACCCGACCGTTAATCTCAGGTACCGTTAGTAAATGGGTACCCGTTTGGATTCTGATGAACCAGTCAGTACTGAACAACACTGCTGGGATCGTGTATTCCAGGCGGGAGTCAATTATTTACAACTCCACGCTGGATGTCTGCATTGTTGTTGCATTTTCGTACCTAGTAGATCTACTCCTGCGACAATCAGACACCAATCGATTTGCGAATCACAATGTGATATCAAAATGCAACCCAAGAACAGATGAATTAAAATCCCAAGGGAACTGACGATGGCCATTAACATCCAGAAAATCCACGTTCTGATGTTGACTACTGATGAAACCCTATTCATCTTTTGGGTGGGTTGTTGCTATAATTTCTGCTGCTTCTTCTGTTCATCTGTGCATGCTGCTGTTGTGCTTTTATAGTGTGCAAGGCAAGTATTGCAGTTTGCCGATGTGTGCGTCAAGAAGAAAGAGCAACACATCCCTGCTTATGCCACGTTTATCATCGGCCAAATTTACCAGCAGAGCGGAGATGTAAGTGATCTCTTGTGTGTCAAGTGCCTTTGCAGTGTGACTGCTATTCTCCATAACCCTGGCTCACTGGTATGTGTGTTGCCTCGGCCGTATCTCCTGTGTTTGTGATTTTTCGGAACCTCCGTGTACAAGGTACTGTTTGTGTGTGCATGTGTGTGTACATGTGTGTGCATGTGCCTTGGTGACTGTGAACTGCATGGATCACTCACACACCACACGTGTGCTCTGCTCTACGCTTGTTGTCACTTGATTGTTTGAGTGTGGTGTGTCATTGCATTCATGCATCATCGTCTTGTGTCCATCTGCATTTCTTTCCCCTGTTTGCTTACAGTTTGTGCAGATGAAGCAAGCGATGAGCAAAGCTAAGGTAGGCACAGTCCCATATCATTGTGTGACTCACACCGGCCAACTTACCAGTACATCGTACATGTATTGGTCGACTTGAGTTCCCGGTTTAGATGAAGGGATGGGGGTTGTGGGATGTTATGTGGACTTGTAGGCGCCTGTTTCCGGTCCCTGCTTTTCTTTGGCCGATAGCTGTTTCCTTTGTCGAGTCCTGTTCCGCCAGGACGAATTGGATGTGAATCTTGGTTCAACACACACGCGATGACTGTCTTTTGGCCGTTTGCTTTCCTGTTTCTCTCTGAATGCAGTCCGCCTACAGTGACTATGAAGTAGAAGGTCGTCTTCAAACTAAGATCAAGGTTGCTCTGGAATCAGGAGCCACGTAACAACACTATCTACAAACTATTTTTTTGAAACCGACAAATTAGCTTCAGTTGTGTACCCTAGGAATTCCGCCCCGTAACCAATTGAAATGCTAGCAACTTGGTTTTCCCCGTATGTTACCAAGGCGCAGCGTGATGTGGAGGCTGTGCCCACACGTGCTGCGCTTCTAATTTAAAACATGGAGTTCATCTTGGTATGCTGGCGTCCACGTATCCCGGACGACTCTCGCTTGTGTGGACTGTGCCCAAGCAACGCCATGCACGTCTTAGCCCTCCCACCTCTGCCGTCACTAGCTGGTCATGGGTGTGCCTTTGTCGTCGTAGTCTTTGCTGTTTATCGTGGACATATCTCTTATTATTCATTGGTGTGAGGGAATCTCTATTAGTTCTGTTCTCCTCCTCTTGGTACGAGTCCTTGCGAAACTCGACTGGAATTGCCACCGATGATGATAACAACTCATGACGATGACGACAATGTAAGACCTTGCTCAATTTGACACTGCCGGTCACTTGGCACCTAGGACCCCGTTTTCTCTCTTCTTCTCTCTATTTTCTATGCTACTCTCTTGGTACTTGTGTAGGTATGTGCCACGATGTATTGTCTCATTGCTACCATATGTGTTCGTGCCACATGCACAACAAAAAACGCATCTAAACCCTAGCTCTATGCCCTATTCGTACTCAGTATCCGAGCTCCCCTGATCCATATTTTCTGCTTCGAGATGTGAATGGGTCAGTTTTTCCGTTCTCTTTAGTCACTCGCTATTTTTTCTGCTGAGCAGAAATCGCACTTCTCGAGTTTGATTTGACATGATCCTATCCCTTATTTATGAAATTTCGTAATTCTCTCTAGTCGAATGCTATTCTTTTGGTATATTAACGTATCAAGCACATAATCGGGTGCCGCCGGTTGACAGGCATGATGTGTTATGTGCGTGTGGTGTGTGTGCGTGTGGGCGTGTAGGAAGGCCACCCTCTTGCCAAAGCATTTGGAATAGATGATATGCCAAATAACGTGCAACTAGACTTGAGAGGGCATTGCAGAGTAGCTGCATACACAAGTTGTACGGTTACCTGTGACTTGCATTCCTGCAGAGCTCAGGGCCTACCATGTACACATTGTATAATTTGTATGCAACTTGTGTGCGATGCCCTCTCAAATCTAGTTGCACGTTATTTGGCATATCTATTTGGACTAATTTCGGCTCCACAATCCAGTGTGCCGTTACTATAATCATAGCTTGCATGGCTGAGGTTGTTGGTACGTCTATTGGCCCTGGGTTCCCAGTACCCAGTTGCCGAGGCTGGTTGGTAAACTAACTCCAATTTCACTTCAAGGTACCAGTGCATCTATACATTGTAGTGTCTGCTTCTATCAAAGCAGTGTGTGACCTTATTCGATAAACGTCACAGTCACGTGAACCGGGGTCCCGGGAACCAGGGAGTGGCAAGAGACCTGCACTCACTGCACAGTGGACTCGGCGTGGGAACATAGGAGTAGATAAGTATCGGTATTTTACTACTCCCTTGTACGAAAAGAATTCGGGTGGACACACCCATTCCCATAGCGCTGCATATCACATCCGAACCAGTTCCGTTATTTTACAACGTTTCGGCACTTGGCCATCATCAGGTAATAACCATGATAACAATGAATACCGTGGAAGCCACACAAGAGCAGTATATACGCAGAGTGTAGCGCCAAAAAAGATGCGAATTATGTCACCAAGTATGACACAGAGAGAGAGAAAAGGCGCAACTAGCACATCACGGAGGAGAAGCAGCAGAAGGTAAATCTGGGGATCAATCCCTCTCGCCGGCACTGCAAAAGAAAAGACAATTGACACTCGCTCCTCTGCAGCTTCCAAGACCATTGTACAAACCGCCACGCTGCCTCGCTCCGGGAAGAGGAGAACCAAGTCTGAAGAAGGGCTGAGGCTTCCTGCAGCTTCATCTGTGAAAAGTCCGTGATGTGCTAGTTGCGCCTTTTCTCTCTCTCTGTCATACTAGGTGACATAATTCGCATCTTTTTTGGCGCTACACTCTGCGTATATACTGCTCTTGTGTGGCTTCCACGGTATTCATTGTGGTACCTGATGATGGCCAAGTGCCGAAACGTTGTAAAATAACGGAACTGGTTCGGATGTGATATGCAGCGCTATGGGAATGGGTGTGTCCACCCGAATTCTTTTCACAGATGAAGCTGCAGGAAGCCTCAGCCCTTCTTCCCTTGTACGAACTGAGCGTTTCTTGCCACTCGTTTCATGCACGCGTGCCCCAGCTAACGACAAATCCCTGGAGGCGAGTCCAAAAATCACGTTATCGAATAAGGTCTTACCCCAGCAAGTGTAGGGTGTGCATAGGTAACTACTCTCTTGGCCGTCCTATTCCGATGTACTCCCGGTCTCCGTGTGGTGTAGACCAGGTGTGCATTGGGGGTCGATTCACATGGCTTCGCCAGTTGTGTGGATTACTTGTAGACAGTTATCTGGCGCTTGTCTTGATCTGTTTCAATCAGAATCAGATCCGCTATCGTTGCTATAAAGAGACAACCTGTGCTTGTTTCTCTTGCGATGGGCGTTTACATGTACATGGTACATGGTGTGCGTGTGTGTCTGTGGTGTGTGTGTGTGTGTGTGTGTGTGTGTGTGTGTGTGTGTGTGTGTGTGTGTGTGTGTGTGTGTGTGTGTGTGTGTGTGTGTGTGTGTGTGTGTGTGTGTGTGTGTGTGTGTGTGTGTGTGTGTGTGTGTGTGTGTGTGTGTGTGTGTGTGTGTGTGTGTGTGTGTGTGTGTGTGTGTGTGTGTGTGTGTGTGTGTGTGTGTGTGTGTGTGTGTGTGTGTGTGTGTGTGTGTGTGTGTGTGTGTGTGTGTGTGTGTGTGTGTGTGTGTGTGTGTGTGTGTGTGTGTGTGTGTGTGTGTGTGTGTGTGTGTGTGTGTGTGTGTGTGTGTGTGTGTGTGTGTGTGTGTGTGTGTGTGTGTGTGTGTGTGTGTGTGTGTGTGTGTGTGTGTGTGTGTGTGTGTGTGTGTGTGTGTGTGTGTGTGTGTGTGTGTGTGTGTGTGTGTGTGTGTGTGTGTGTGTGTGTGTGTGTGTGTGTGTGTGTGTGTGTGTGTGTGTGTGTGTGTGTGTGTGTGTGTGTGTGTGTGTGTGTGTGTGTGTGTGTGTGTGTGTGTGTGTGTGTGTGTGTGTGTGTGTGTGTGTGTGTGTGTGTGTGTGTGTGTGTGTGTGTGTGTGTGTGTGTGTGTGTGTGTGTGTGTGTGTGTGTGTGTGTGTGTGTGTGTGTGTGTGTGTGTGTGTGTGTGTGTGTGTGTGTGTGTGTGTGTGTGTGTGTGTGTGTGTGTGTGTGTGTGTGTGTGTGTGTGTGTGTGTGTGTGTGTGTGTGTGTGTGTGTGTGTGTGTGTGTGTGTGTGTGTGTGTGTGTGTGTGTGTGTGTGTGTGTGTGTGTGTGTGTGTGTGTGTGTGTGTGTGTGTGTGTGTGTGTGTGTGTGTGTGTGTGTGTGTGTGTGTGTGTGTGTGTGTGTGTGTGTGTGTGTGTGTGTGTGTGTGTGTGTGTGTGTGTGTGTGTGTGTGTGTGTGTGTGTGTGTGTGTGTGTGTGTGTGTGTGTGTGTGTGTGTGTGTGTGTGTGTGTGTGTGTGTGTGTGTGTGTGTGTGTGTGTGTGTGTGTGTGTGTGTGTGTGTGTGTGTGTGTGTGTGTGTGTGTGTGTGTGTGTGTGTGTGTGTGTGTGTGTGTGTGTGTGTGTGTGTGTGTGTGTGTGTGTGTGTGTGTGTGTGTGTGTGTGTGTGTGTGTGTGTGTGTGTGTGTGTGTGTGTGTGTGTGTGTGTGTGTGTGTGTGTGTGTGTGTGTGTGTGTGTGTGTGTGTGTGTGTGTGTGTGTGTGTGTGTGTGTGTGTGTGTGTGTGTGTGTGTGTGTGTGTGTGTGTGTGTGTGTGTGTGTGTGTGTGTGTGTGTGTGTGTGTGTGTGTGTGTGTGTGTGTGTGTGTGTGTGTGTGTGTGTGTGTGTGTGTGTGTGTGTGTGTGTGTGTGTGTGTGTGTGTGTGTGTGTGTGTGTGTGTGTGTGTGTGTGTGTGTGTGTGTGTGTGTGTGTGTGTGTGTGTGTGTGTGTGTGTGTGTGTGTGTGTGTGTGTGTGTGTGTGTGTGTGTGTGTGTGTGTGTGTGTGTGTGTGTGTGTGTGTGTGTGTGTGTGTGTGTGTGTGTGTGTGTGTGTGTGTGTGTGTGTGTGTGTGTGTGTGTGTGTGTGTGTGTGTGTGTGTGTGTGTGTGTGTGTGTGTGTGTGTGTGTGTGTGTGTGTGTGTGTGTGTGTGTGTGTGTGTGTGTGTGTGTGTGTGTGTGTGTGTGTGTGTGTGTGTGTGTGTGTGTGTGTGTGTGTGTGTGTGTGTGTGTGTGTGTGTGTGTGTGTGTGTGTGTGTGTGTGTGTGTGTGTGTGTGTGTGTGTGTGTGTGTGTGTGTGTGTGTGTGTGTGTGTGTGTGTGTGTGTGTGTGTGTGTGGTGTGTGTGTGTGTGTGTGTGTGTGTGTGTGTGTGTGTGTGTGTGTGTGTGTGTGTGTGTGTGTGTGTGTGTGTGTGTGTGTGTGTGTGGTGTGTGTGTGTGTGTGTGTGTGTGTGTGTGTGTGTGTGTGTGTGTGTGTGTGTGTGTGTGTGTGTGTGTGTGTGTGTGTGTGTGTGTGTGTGTGTGTGTGTGTGTGTGTGTGTGTGTGTGTGTGTGTGTGTGTGTGTGTGTGTGTGTGTGTGTGTGTGTGTGTGTGTGTGTGTGTGTGTGTGTGTGTGTGTGTGTGTGGTGTGTGTGTGTGTGTGTGTGTGTGTGTGTGTGTGTGTGTGTGTGTGTGTGTGTGTGTGTGTGTGTGTGTGTGTGTGTGTGTGTGTGTGTGTGTGTGTGTGTGTGTGTGTGTGTGTGTGTGTGTGTGTGTGTGTGTGTGTGTGTGTGTGTGTGTGTGTGTGTGTGTGTGTGTGTGTGTGTGTGTGTGTGTGTGTGTGTGTGTGTGTGTGTGTGTGTGTGTGTGTGTGTGTGTGTGTGTGTGTGTGTGTGTGTGTGTGTGTGTGTGTGTGTGTGTGTGTGTGTGTGTGTGTGTGTGTGTGTGTGTGTGTGTGTGTGTGTGTGTGTGTGTGTGTGTGTGTGTGTGTGTGTGTGTGTGTGTGTGTGTGTGTGTGTGTGTGTGTGTGTGTGTGTGTGTGTGTGTGTGTGTGTGTGTGTGTGTGTGTGTGTGTGTGTGTGTGTGTGGTGTGGTGTGTGTGTGTGTGTGTGTGTGTGTGTGTGTGTGTGTGTGTGTGTGTGTGTGTGTGTGTGTGTGGTGTGTGTGTGTGTGTGTGTGTGTGTGTGTGTGTGTGTGTGTGTGTGTGTGTGTGTGTGTGTGTGTGTGTGTGTGTGTGTGTGTGTGTGTGTGTGTGTGTGTGTGTGTGTGTGTGTGTGTGTGTGTGTGTGTGTGTGTGTGTGTGTGTGTGTGTGTGTGTGTGTGTGTGTGTGTGTGTGTGTGTGTGTGTGTGTGTGTGTGTGTGTGTGTGTGTGTGTGTGTGTGTGTGTGTGTGTGTGTGTGTGTGTGTGTGTGTGTGTGTGTGTGTGTGTGTGTGTGTGTGTGTGTGTGTGTGTGTGTGTGTGTGTGTGTGTGTGTGTGTGTGTGTGTGTGTGTGTGTGTGTGTGTGTGTGTGTGTGTGTGTGTGTGTGTGTGTGTGTGTGTGTGTGTGTGTGTGTGTGTGTGTGTGTGTGTGTGTGTGTGTGTGTGTGTGTGTGTGTGTGTGTGTGTGTGTGTGTGTGTGTGTGTGTGTGTGTGTGTGTGTGTGTGTGTGTGTGTGTGTGTGTGTGTGTGTGTGTGTGTGTGTGTGTGTGTGTGTGTGTGTGTGTGTGTGTGTGTGTGTGTGTGTGTGTGTGTGTGTGTGTGTGTGTGTGTGTGTGTGTGTGTGTGTGTGTGTGTGTGTGTGTGTGTGTGTGTGTGTGTGTGTGTGTGTGTGTGTGTGTGTGTGTGTGTGTGTGTGTGTGTGTGTGTGTGTGTGTGTGTGTGTGTGTGTGTGTGTGTGTGTGTGGTGTGTGTGTGTGTGTGTGTGTGTGTGTGTGTGTGTGTGTGTGTGTGTGTGTGTGTGTGTGTGTGTGTGTGTGTGTGTGTGTGTGTGTGTGTGTGTGTGTGTGTGTGTGTGTGTGTGTGTGTGTGTGTGTGTGTGTGTGTGTGTGTGTGTGTGTGTGTGTGTGTGTGTGTGTGTGTGTGTGTGTGTGTGTGTGTGTGTGTGTGTGTGTGTGTGTGTGTGTGTGTGTGTGTGTGTGTGTGTGTGTGTGTGTGTGTGTGTGTGTGTGTGTGTGTGTGTGTGTGTGTGTGTGTGTGTGTGTGTGTGTGTGTGTGTGTGTGTGTGTGTGTGTGTGTGTGTGTGTGTGTGTGTGTGTGTGTGTGTGTGTGTGTGTGTGTGTGTGTGTGTGTGTGTGTGTGTGTGTGTGTGTGTGTGTGTGTGTGTGTGTGTGTGTGTGTGTGTGTGTGTGTGTGTGTGTGTGTGTGTGTGTGTGTGTGTGTGTGTGTGTGTGTGTGTGTGTGTGTGTGTGTGTGTGTGTGTGTGTGTGTGTGTGTGTGTGTGTGTGTGTGTGTGTGTGTGTGTGTGTGTGTGTGTGTGTGTGTGTGTGTGTGTGTGTGTGTGTGTGTGTGTGTGTGTGTGTGTGTGTGTGTGTGTGTGTGTGTGTGTGTGTGTGTGTGTGTGTGTGTGTGTGTGTGTGTGTGTGTGTGTGTGTGTGTGTGTGTGTGTGTGTGTGTGTGTGTGTGTGTGTGTGTGTGTGTGTGTGTGTGTGTGTGTGTGTGTGTGTGTGTGTGTGTGTGTGTGTGTGTGTGTGTGTGTGTGTGTGTGTGTGTGTGTGTGTGTGTGTGTGTGTGTGTGTGTGTGTGTGTGTGTGTGTGTGTGTGTGTGTGTGTGTGTGTGTGTGTGTGTGTGTGTGTGTGTGTGTGTGTGTGTGTGTGTGTGTGTGTGTGTGTGTGTGTGTGTGTGTGTGTGTGTGTGTGTGTGTGTGTGTGTGTGTGTGTGTGTGTGTGTGTGTGTGTGTGTGTGTGTGTGTGTGTGTGTGTGTGTGTGTGTGTGTGTGTGTGTGTGTGTGTGTGTGTGTGTGTGTGTGTGTGTGTGTGTGTGTGTGTGTGTGTGTGTGTGTGTGTGTGTGTGTGTGTGTGTGTGTGTGTGTGTGTGTGTGTGTGTGTGTGTGTGTGTGTGTGTGTGTGTGTGTGTGTGTGTGTGTGTGTGTGTGTGTGTGTGTGTGTGTGTGTGTGTGTGTGTGTGTGTGTGTGTGTGTGTGTGTGTGTGTGTGTGTGTGTGTGTGTGTGTGTGTGTGTGTGTGTGTGTGTGTGTGTGTGTGTGTGTGTGTGTGTGTGTGTGTGTGTGTGTGTGTGTGTGTGTGTGTGTGTGTGTGTGTGTGTGTGTGTGTGTGTGTGTGTGTGTGTGTGTGTGTGTGTGTGTGTGTGTGTGTGTGTGTGTGTGTGTGTGTGTGTGTGTGTGTGTGTGTGTGTGTGTGTGTGTGTGTGTGTGTGTGTGTGTGTGTGTGTGTGTGTGTGTGTGTGTGTGTGTGTGTGTGTGTGTGTGTGTGTGTGTGTGTGTGTGTGTGTGTGTGTGTGTGTGTGTGTGTGTGTGTGTGTGTGTGTGTGTGTGTGTGTGTGTGTGTGTGTGTGTGTGTGTGTGTGTGTGTGTGTGTGTGTGTGTGTGTGTGTGTGTGTGTGTGTGTGTGTGTGTGTGTGTGTGTGTGTGTGTGTGTGTGTGTGTGTGTGTGTGTGTGTGTGTGTGTGTGTGTGTGTGTGTGTGTGTGTGTGTGTGTGTGTGTGTGTGTGTGTGTGCGCATGTGTGTGTGCGCATGTGTGCATGTGTGTGTGTGTGTGTGTGTGCGCATGTGTGCATGTGAGTAATAGTTGGGTGTATGGTTGGGCATGTGTGTGTTCGTGTGTTCACTGGAGCATGGGCAAACATGAATGTGCATATGTGTACCTACTTTGTGGCTGTGTATGCGCATACATGCGTGTGTGCCTCTCCATGATTGGGCCATTGTGATAACATGAAGGCTGGAAAGAATAGACGTAATGTTCGAAGCAGAATACGACAATCGATGTGACTGCTTCCAGCTGTTCACAGAGCAGGTATGTCCATGTGCATAACAAGCCGCTTGTATGTCCATAGCTCGTAGTCTAGACCGTTGGTTTTTCCAACGTACTACAGCCTATGGATCAGTCACCGTATATAAATTGGCGTGCTGTGCTTGGTGAACGTTTAGACTGTTTGTTCTTCGGCGCTCCATTCTTCTGTGCCCTAAAATACTGTATCGGCCGTGTATTATGGCCATTTGTGTCTCTGAAACCGCGATGAACCCTGGGCATGCTGCACATTTTATAGCCAACGGATATTAGTCATACAGAACTCACAGTTCTTTGTTTGACGGCAACTCACCCATGATTGTGCATGGACGTCGCTGACTAACAGCGTTTGTGTGTGTTTGTGTGTGGTTGTTTGTTTGTGTGTGTGTGTCTACATGTGTGCATGTCAGCGTGTGTCTGCATGTGTGCATGTCAGCGTGTGTCTGCATGTGTGCATTTCAGCGTGTATGCATGTGTGCATTTCAGCGTGTATGCATGTGTGCATGTCAGCGTGTATGCATGTGTGCATGTCAGCGTGTGTGCATGTGAGCGTATCTGCGTGTATGCGCGTGTCGGCATGTCGGCATGTGTGTGTGTGTGTGTGTGTGTGTGTGTGTGTGTGTGTGTGTGTGTGTGTGTGCGTGTGCGTGTGCTTTCTTTACCCTGCTGGACAGCACTCTGGAATATTTCCTCTTATGACTAAAGAATGTGCCATGCCACGGTAAGCCTTATACGAGCAAAACGCTCCCAGGTAGCCAGATGAAATCTACTCGGTTCCTATAGCTAGTATCTAGTCTGGTCCTGTGCAGTGTGAGAGACAAAATTTGAGAGCTTGATGTGGACCACCGTGACATTCTTGGAATTCAGTGTGTGCGTATTCATCGCTCTGGTTTGGTATCTGGAATGTCATTGTAAATAGTCTCCAGGTTCAGGAGTCAGCTCATTTGCCTGCCGCTCCCCCCCCCCTCCCCCACCCCCACCCTTGCCTCTTCCACGTCCTCCCCTCCCTCCTTTTCATGCCAGCATGGTAGCATGTCTGTTGATGCAGAGTACCATGGGACTAGCTAATTGATGATGCCTGGATATCGTGGATCTGCCCTGTCCTTGACTGTAGTTCTGTAGTATTGAACATGGCTATTCTCTTGTGACCGTTGCAGAATTGCTGTGGAGAATTTCATTGGCAAACTGAGCACGTCACATGGTGGGAACCCGTGGTAAGTGCTAACACAAAAAGGCATCTATGAGTTAACGTGTCTGCAGATTTTTTTGCAAGTTCAACTTTTCCCATACTTGGAAGGTATGACCAGCTGTAGTACAATAGGGCTTGAAAGTGATGACGTCAAAAACGGCCAGGGAGTAGTAAGTTGACATCAGATTTCTATTTTGGATCCACTAAGGTGTGACTTTGCTATTGCCTCAGTATGTGGGTGCATAGCAACCCACTCATGTCGTATGCAGGGGTGATTTTTACTTTGCCACCAGTTGTAACCCCGCCCCCAGTAGCCAAATCAGTCAGTTTCACTGGCTACATCACCTTGCTGTGAGTAAGACGGCTTGAAATTTGCTTGGATCCATACAAAAACTGGATCCAAGTGGATCCAGTTTGAATTTTTGAAATTGTTGCTGTGCTGGGACAAAGCACTTTCAAGCCCTATTGTGAGTT